GGGAGTTCAGATTTGCACAGGTTAAGTTTGAGATTTTCGATTTCTGAGTGGGGCTTTTGAACATATATTGGACATGGGAATCTGGAGGAGTAATTCTCAATCTTGATCTCTATATTGATCTCATTAATTTCATAGGTGCTTGGAAGTGACTTTTTTTTAATGTTTAATTTATTTATGATAGTCACACAGAGAGAGAGAGAGAGAGAGAGAGTCAGAGACATAGGCAGAAGGAGAAGCAGGCTCCATGCACCGGGAGCCCGATGTGGGATTCGATCCCGGGTCTCCAGGATCGCGCCCTGGGCCAAAGGCAGGCACCAAACCGCTGCGCCACCCAGGGATCCCTGGAAGTGACTTTTAAGGAGTGGATTCATTAATATTAACAAAAATATAGATTGTAGTGGCATCTATCAGTTTTATCCCAACAAAAGCTGAGAATAATTTTCTGAACTCCTATTCTGAGGATCCTGTCAAATTATGAGATTTGCCCTAAAAGTTTTTGAGCTTTTGTTTGTTTTTGTGCTTTTGAGAAATGTATCTTCCCAGAGAAATGGCTTTATGGCTCATGGTTAAACTCTTGGGCCAAGTCTCTCTATAAGGTAGCAATATGTTTGCAAAACCAAAACGAGAAATGAAACAAATTATTTAAAAAATCAGCACAGCTGAGATCCTGGTAATTTTTTTTAAGATTTTATTTATTCATTCATGACAGACACAGAGATAGAGAGGCAGAGACACAGGCAGATGGAGAAGCAGGTTCCATGCACGGAGCCCAACGCAGGACTCAATCCCAGGTCTCCAGGATCAGGCCCCAGGCTGAAGGCGGTGTGGCACTAAACCACTGGGCCACTGGGGCTGCCCGAGATCTTGGTAATTTAACAAGCACACAGAACTTAGTGATGTAGGAGCTTTTGTGCTTCCTCATTTATGGTTTTTGAGTCAAAACAGTCAGAGTTCATTGACCAAACTCTCTCCCAAGCTTCTCTTAATTTCCCTGAATGCTCAGCTGAGGAAGGTAGGTCCAAGAATCTTGCTTGTGGCAGCAGAGCAGACAGGGGAAGGGAGGGGAGGTTTGTGCACAGGAGGAAAGGGGACCGGGGCATGAAGAACTCTCCCAAGGCTGCAGCCCACCATCAGCCAGCCAAGGGGTAGCAAGCTCTCATTCACCCTTCAGTGAAAATCACTGTAGTCAGATCCAAAATAGGTACAGCCCTTGGTAATGTAAAAGTTTGTTGAGGCAGGAAAGAAGAGCTCTTAGGGATCCCTGGGTGGCTCAGTGGTTTAGCACCTGCCTTCAGCCCTGGGTGTGGTCCTGGAGTCCTGGAGTCCTGGGATTGAGTCCCGTGTCGGGCTCCCTGCATGGAGCCTGCTTCTCCTCTCTCTTCTTGTGTCTCTGCCTCTGTGTGTGTCTCTCCTGAATAAATAAAATAAAAAAAAGAACTTGTAGAATAAGAGGAGGGAATGAGTTCAATGGGGTCCCCTGAGCCAGCAGCCAGCCTGGGAAATGAATGGGACATTGAGTATCTGAAGGGACCCAAGAGAGGAGGTGAGAGATGTCCTTGAAGGAGGGGAAAGAAGCAGGAGATTGGTTGAAGGCAAAGATGACAGAGACACCAGCAGTGCTGGTGGAAGCTGCTGCTATAGCAAGAATTCTTTTCATGAGGTGTACCACAGTGTCTAGCTTGAAAAACTGTAGTGTTTCCTTATTTGCTGCAAGCTTTCCACTTTGGGCTCTTCCAAGCTGGCTTCCCAGTGTAAACATCCCTCCCTTAAGCCCTTCCTCAACCCTCATGTAGGAAGGGAAAGGGGGAGAAGAAGAAAATAGAGCATTGGTGTCCCCCCTTTACTGGCCCTGTTTGCTCCCTTTCCCAGGAAGGTGAGTTGGCTTGTACTTACAGCTTCCCTAGTCTAAGGTCTTTGGGAACAGAGAACCCTCCAATGCCACGGGGCTGCCATAACCTTCTTTCTCTTTTCCATTCTTTCTTTGTCAATTCTTAATAAAATTTAGGTTTAATATTTGTGTCCCCTCATTGATCACAAATTCCATGTAAGCAGACATCATGTCCTGATAGGGTTTAGAACAGGCTACCCCGAGCAGCCCAGGTGGCTCAGCGGTTTAGCACCACCTTCGGCCAAGGACATGATCCTGGAGTCCCAGGATCGAGTCCCACGTCGGGCTCCCTGCATGGAGCCTGCTTCTCCCTCTGCCTGTGTCTCTGCCTCTCTCTCTCTCTCTCTGTGTGTGTGTGTGTGTATCATGAATAAATAAAATCTTAAAAAAAGAGAACAGGCTACCCCAAATTATGGCACCTTGGAATACCAAGATGAAGGGATTTGAAAACAAAACAGGTGCAGGAAGGTCTCTCTGACCACCCCCTTCTCCCCTGAAGCAGGTCATAAGATCCTGTAGGGTGGGGAAAAGTTTTCCTCAACTCTCTTAGAAGCTCTGGCTAGGTCTGAAAATTAAACAAAGATGAACAGGAGCGAAGTCTGCAAGCATATTTCATGTAAGTTTTATCCTGGCGTGGGGGCCTTCCTAAGGAAAAGAGGACCCAAAGAACCACACCTGGTACTCTTATGCTGAGTTCAGTGAGGAGTGGGCAGGCACGGAGGAACATGACAGGTTAAGGAGCAGGAGGTAAGGGTAGTATAGTGGGGGAAGACTGGCAAGTACTGTCCGCTCAGATTCTTCTGTGTCCCTCCATCTTTGGAGATAAGGATGTTGCTTTCCACCAGGTATAGGGAAGCAGCTCTCGGGTAGGGTTTTATGACCTGTTTCAGGGCAGAAGGGCAATGGGCAAAGGAGGTCAGAGTGATCTTCCTGCTTCTGCTGTTTTCTCAAAGTTCCTCACCGCACAATAGTCAACAAGTCAAGGTGACATATTCTGGGGGAGCGTGTCCTGCACCTGTCAGTCCTCCTATGAGAAGTGTCCTCCCCGTATCTGGAAGAGATGATTTATCTCAGAAGATGGAGGAATTCAGGTCCCCTGCAGGGACCCTGAATTGCTTGTCCTTGCTAATTTTCCTTCCGTTTACTACCCTTAACGCATGCCCTTTGTACTATCGTGTTTCCTACAACTTCCCACTCTTCATCAAATCTAGCGTAACAACATTCAGGTTTAACCATTTTTGCAGGTCTTCTTTTCCTTAGGAAGGCTCTGCATCTTGTACGACTTATATCAAATAAATCTGTATGCGTTCCTCCTGTTGCTGTCTTTGCCAGTCTGATTTACAGAGCCCCAGCTGGAGAATCTAAGAAGGGTAGAGGAAGAGAATTCTTCCTCCCCCATACTCTCTTGCTTACAATTGCATCCTGTGAGGAACAGTGCCTTGTGCCGAGTAGGGGCTCAGAAAAGATTTAATAAATGGGTGTGTGAACAAGAGAGAGGGAGGAAGAGGCAACAGACTGGGTGTAGATCCCTTAGAAAAACTTCTGGCACTTTCAGTGGTTTTGGAGGTTGATAGCACTGGGTCACTGGGTGGACGTTAAGTCTCATTTCACTTAAAAATGTAAGACTTGCCCGTTTCCTGATAAAGGCCTCAGTTCTCTTATAAGGCATCAGTCATTCCAGAGCTATGGTGAGCTGGAGGTCACAGTCACAGTATTTTACAACTCCTTTATTTCCCGACCTCTTGAATCTGGACTTGCCTCATGACTTGGTTTGACCAATACAAGTGGCAGGAGTGATACTGAGTTGGTTGCCGGAGGCCTATAGCTTCCACCTCCACCCTCTTGGAACGCTGTGCCCTCATACAGGGAAGCTCAGGCTAGTGATGGGATGATGATGGGAAGCCTCGGGCATGGATGGCACTTATACCCATGAGACTAAATAAGGAAGTGAGGATAGATGAGACAGGATCACTAGAGAAAAGGCAGACTACTAGGAACAGATGCAGGTGATTGGTGGATGGGCTGATGAGGCCAAACGCAAGATCTCTCCTCAATTGCTGTTTCCTATTGAACAAGAAGTAAAAGCTGGCAGGCAGGCGGGGAGACTGTGTGGGAATTTTGAGGAGAAAGAGGGTGCAAACAGCCATCCAAGTGAATGGGTGAGTGATTTGACAGGAAAACCAAGTCCAGTTGCTCAGCAGCACCAAGCATCTCCTTGATGTTCACGACCATTACAATGAGTAATGTTAGCAGCGAGTCTGATACTTCTCCAGCCACACTTACTTGCCTAAGAGCAGTTCCAGGCTGGGTGGAGAGTTGGGGGTCCTCCAGGCAGGGAGGGCCAAGGAGGCCCAGCTATCAAAGTGCGGCTACTGTGAGGGACCGCGGGATCTAGGCCGGGCAAAGAGGGGCGTGGGAATAAGAGCAGAAGGACAGGAAACCGCAGAGCCTTCTGCTGCCGGCGGGGGGTTCCTGGCGCCAGGGCACAGCGGAGGGCGCAGGGGCCCGGCGGCCCGTAAGGTGCGGCTGCGACCCGGGAGCCGGCGGCTGCGGGGCTGCACGGGCTCCGCGGGGATCGGGGTCTCCGTGATCGTCCACCGAGCCAAGCTGCTGCTTCTGCTTGGGCACCGCAGATCTCCCTGAACCCTTCCTTCCGAGCGCTGCCCGCCGCTCGTGTCGCCGGTGGTGGCCGCACACTACGCAGGACCCACAGTCTGTTTCGTTTCCCGGCTGCCGTGCCGGAGGCGCTCAGGGGCAGGATGAATTCTAGAGCGTCCTCGATTCTACAGCGACGCGTTCGCGCCAGGGGGAAAGCACGGCTCCGCGAGGGCGGGTCTTTTCTGTCTGGGGTACTCCCTGCGGATGGACTTCCCGGTGCGTGGAGCAGTTCCTGGCACATACTTGGTGCTCAATAAATATTTCCTGAATGAACGCAGGAACGAGCCAACCGCCTTCACTGCCCACTGCGCCTGCGCTGCACGCCCTGAGCGGCGACCTGACGCCTGCGCCTGCGCTGTTTGTGCCGGCGCGGCCCCGAGACCCGCTCCCCAGGCGGCTGCGCCGCTTTAGGTTTGAGCCCTCCGGGCCCCTGTAGCAGCTGGGCTGCGGGGCCGTCCCGGCTTGCACTTCGGCGTTCCCACGCCTCCTCAGCCGGGCTCTCGCCTTTCACGTCAGGGCCCGACCTCGGAGATGGCGGCTCAGAAGATAAATGAAGGGCTGGAGCACCTCGCCAAAGCAGAGAAATAGTGAGTGGCCCACGCCGGCCCGGCGCGGGAGTTGGAGGGGGCGCGTGGAGAGCGAGCGCGGAGGGCGGCGGCTTCCCGGGGCTGCGGCCGGGGGTCCGGGGCGGGGCGGGGCCCGCTGCCCCTCCGGAAGCGCACTCAGTGCCTGCCGGAAGTCGTCCCCGCTCCCTCCTGGGCTCCCTCCTGGGCTCCCTCCTGGGCTCCCTCCTGCTGCGGGGCTGGATGCTCCGCCGCTCGCTCTGGGCGCTCCGGCCTGGGTGTTCCTTGAGGAGACTGCCCTGTGCCTCGCCGTTTAGCAGCATCCCGGGGCTCTGCTTCGTAGATGCCCGCAGCACCTGCCCTCTCCCGTGCTGACGACCAGAACGGACTCCCCGGGGCAGAACTCGCCTCGTTGAGAACCAGCGCTCGGAAAGTCTCTCGAGTGCGGAGGGGGCTACGGATGTAGCTGATAATCCGCGGGGGTCCCTTGTCGTGTCCCAGGGGTTCGCGCTTCCCTACTGATTCATGTGTTCTCCCGGCTTCTGCCACGGCCTCGCTGTAGGCACCCAGCAGACACGCGGGACTGAGCTGAGTCCGCCCAGCTCTCAACACTCCCCTCCTCAGTGTCACTACTGCAACGAATTCGTGTTTGGTAATTGTAGAAAACGAAACATCCACAGGGAGTCGAGTACAGAATCTCACTTTACAGAAGAGGAGGTGAGGCCTGGAGAAGCCTTATGATGACTTGTCCAGGGCTGCACCGATGAAAGATGGCAGCGCCAGCTTTTGAACAATGGAAAAATTCAAGTCTATAGTTACTGCGTTACTACTCCTCCCTGTGACTGACTGTGTTCTACTCCTTTTTTTTTTTCCGCAGGAGACGCCCCCAGCAATCAATCTATCTTTCTTTCTTTCTCTTTCTTTCTTTCTCTTCCTTTTCTTTCTTTCCTTTCTTTCTTTTTTCTTTTTCTTTTCTTTCTTCCTTTCTTTCCTTTTTTCTTTTCTTTTCTTTTCTTTTCTTTTCTTTTCTTTTCTTTTCTTTTCTTTTCTTTTCTTTTCTTTTCTTTTCTTTGGAGCAAGCCCAAAAGTATCATTAAAATAGTGCGTTTGATAAAGACCATAATAAAGCGGTCTCAGCTCAGCTTTGCTTTGGTAGCACAGGAGGAGGAGTTTATTCTATCTGGAAAAATTCAGGAAGATTTCCCAAAGGTGATTTCTAAGCAGGTTCTGGAAAATTTTTTTTTAAACATTAAGATTTATTCATGAGAGACAGAGGCAGAGACACAGAGGTTGAAGCAGGCTCCCTGCTGGGAACCCGATATGGGACTCTATCCCAGGACCCTGGGATCACGCCCTGAGCCAAAGGCAGACGCTCAACCATTGAGCCACTCAGTCCCGGAAAATAATTTTTTTTAAAACAGAAGGAAAATCCCATGAGAATCTGTATAGGATTTAGAATGTGCATAGGCTTGAAAATATGCCAGGGGAATAAAGTAGAGTAGTTGCAGTGCCAGGGAATGAGCTAGAGCAGAGAAGTTGAGGCCAGACTGAATGGGCTGCCCCTCTGATGGTCCTGAATGTTAGCTTTTCTGGGGATCGTGTAACCAATAGAAATGTGGCAAAAGAAATGTGGAGATTGGGGAGGGGAGAGAAAAGTGAGAATTTCGTCACATTCAGGCAGTGTATATCTGACCCAGCCATTGGAGTTATTGAAGTAACCAAAAGAGGTTCTTTATTCAGGAGTTTAGAATTCACAGGCAAGCATACAAGTCATCAGAGAGCAGAAATAAGATAGTAAATGCTAGAACAGAGGTATGCAGTTGTTTCAGGGGGTGTACAAAGTAAGGAAAAAATTAATATCCTCAGGGTGGGGTGAGTGGAAGAGGAGGGAGGGCAGGCAGGAAAGGTGACTTTCCATGAGTGGTTAGTAGACTCATGATGAGGGCCTGAATTAAAGTAACAACACAAGAGGCAGCGTTGGACGGTATCCGTCAAATAGAGGTGGTAAGCTTTACTTACTTGACTGGATATAGAGGGGAAAGCTTGACTCTTAGGTTTCCAAAAAAGAAAATATTGAAAGGGCAGGTCAGGTAAAGACTCAAAACTGATGGTTCTTTGTTTCGACGTATGAGAAACCAGTAGTGATCCTGTTGTTTTCATAACATCCCAGTCTTTCCAGTTATCTTTCCTGGCTAATTCTCAACCTGTTTTGCTGACTCCCTGTGTTGTTGCTCTGAATATTTGTATTCTGTAGGCTTTCTGCTCACTTTCTAGATCTCCCTGGTGGATTTGAACTGGGCCCTTTGTGTGGTATGTGCCAGTGGCTCCTTAGTTAATACCTCTAGCCTCTCCTGAGCTTCAGCCTCATGAATCCAACTGCTTGCTTGATGCTGTGCTTCAGAGGGTCTCAAGTTTTGATGCACCGTGGGGCTTGTTATACTCTGATTGTGCTGAGAACTTCTGCTGTACTTGGATATTATACAGACTTTTTTTTTTTTTTCAAGATTTTATTTATTCATTCATGAGAGACACAGAGAGAGGGAGAGAGGCAGAGACACAGGCAGAGGGAGAAGCAGGCTCCATGCAGGGAGCCCGACATCGGACTCAATCCCCGGTCTCCAGGATCCTGCCCTGAGCTGAAGGCAGACACTTAACCGCTGAGCCACCCAGGTGTCCCTTATGCAGACATTTTAAAAGAAGAAAACCGCATCTTTGATAGTGAGAGGGAAAATAGGTTGTTTTTAATTGTAAATAAATTTGGGAAGAAGTGGGCAAGATCGGGATTTTGTACCTCGTGGGTTTTTTGTTTGTTTGTTTTGTTTTTAAATCACCTACAAAGCCATTAAAGCAGGATTCTGACTTCTAAATGTGGTTGCTAACTTCTGTTAAATGTGTCTTTTCATTTTAGCCTGAAAACTGGTTTTTTAAAATGGAAACCAGATTATGACAGTGCTGCTTCTGAATATGGAAAAGCAGGTATGTATAATGATAGCCCTTTGATTCCAGTATCTAGTCTTAACGTAGGCTGAAAACTTCATCTTGGCAAAAATACTTACACTTAATGCTTTCTATGAGAATTTAATAGTAAAAAAAAAACAAACCTGCCCAGGCCCTGGCTTTTTTCCCACTTGTTATTTTCAGATGTGTTGAGGGCTGAGAGACCCAGTGACCTGCAGCTCTCTTCTGACATCAGAGATGGGTAGGGTTGGCAGTACGTAGCTTCAAGCTTTTTGCCTTGTTCATATATATATATATATATATATATATATATATATATATTAAGATTTATTTATTTATTCATGATAGACACAGAGAGAGAGAGAGAGAGAGAGGCAGAGACACAGGCAGAGGGAGGAGCAGACTCCATGCAGGGAGCCTGATGCGGGACTCAATCCCAGGACTCCAGGATCGCGCCCTGGGCCAAAGGCAGGCGCCAAACCGCTGAGCCACCCAGGGATCCCCTTTGTTCATATATTCTTGAACTTCAATCAGTTGCCCACTATTTCCAGGAGTTTTTGCCATATCTCTCTATTATACTTCTATAATGGAATAAAGATTTTTTTTTTGTTAACTTTTATTTTTTAATTTAGCCATATTCTAGGCAGATCTACAGATCCTGTGTCTGTTTGGCACATGTTTTTTTAAGAACCACACTTTTGGTATAATGCTGATAAATGTGAAGTATTAAGCCATATGACTATTTGAATAAATATTATCTGTATATTTAGATAAAAACGATCTGCAACATGCAACAGAGAGGAAACTTACTAAAAATTTACCATTTAATTATATAACGACAGCTTTTAGCATCTCCACAATTATTTTGGATACAAAGCATAATGCACTTTTTGAAATACTCTAAACACATTTGCAGTTGTGTTTCAGCCATAGCCCAGATCACGTTTGTTAGCTTAACTTAGAGACCACCTACATAATGTGCTTTTCATAGACTTTGAGTTTTAGCATATCATCAAAGAATAGTAGAGAAATTGGGTAAATAGAAACTTGGGTAAATGAGTCTTTAGCACTTTTATTTAAATCCTGACTATATTCTCTCTGTTGGATGATGTAAATTATTTGTCCTATTTAAAAGGAAAATTATTAAAAGCTCAAATTTCATATGGATTCTATGGACACCTACTACAAGAACACTTTTGTAACTAGAAGGCACAACATTTTGCAAATTTCTTGAGGGAAATTTATCACAGGTTGGTTTTTATAAGCATCTGAGACCATGAACTGCCTTCACAAATACACATTCAGATCCTATTTTCCCATTAAATCATCCTTTATTTTCTTTAAGGGGTTATGCAAAATATATTTAATCAATAGAATACATTTTTTTAAAAAGCAAAATGTGTAAGTCCAGGGGTGAAAATAGTTCAGTAATTTATTTTGAACATTTTATTAAAGAGCATTTTAACAGTTTGATTTTAACAATTTTTTTTTTTTTTTTTTTTTTTTTTTTTTTACGGTATCCTTTTTTTACTTGTTTGTAAACAAGTTTTCCAAAATCTGTAAGATCCTAGTTTTAGGGCCACTCCTTGTTTTGCTCTGATGATGACACTTTTACGACAGTGGAGATGTCATTTTCACAGAAACCTACTACACAGTGTAAAAGCTTTATTTGAAAGAAATGCATTATTAATGTTTTAGGCATTTATTTAAAGATTATGCCAAAAGGAAGGCATATCGGTCTTCTGTTTCTAAATAATTAGAAAGGTGGAATAAGCTGTAACTAAAGCACTGCTTTTATTAGTAAATGTAAAATTGGCAAAGTAAGATCCTGTCTTTTGTGACAGGACCTGTTGTTTGGGAGTATTGGTTGACTGATGCAGTCTTGGTTTCTCAAAGCTTAGGTGCTGCTGTAGAAAGACTTGGTTTTGAGCAGAAATGGCACTGATTTATTGCTAGTAGTCTATAATTTAACAAAATGAAACAAAGTTACACACTTTTGAAAGTACTGCCAAGTTATTGGTAATCAAAAAAATTGTAAGAAAATTCCTGAGAAAAAAGTAGTGTTGTATAAAACTTATATATTTGATTAAAATAAGGATATTTTCTCATGTTTCCCACATGATGCAGATTTTGGTAATGATTTGTTTGAAGTTTTTTTTAATAATGGATTAGAAAGTCTTTTTGTTGTTGTTGTTCTATTTCAGCTGTTGCTTTTAAAAATGCCAAACAATTTGAGCAAGCAAAAGATGCCTGCCTGAGAGAAGCTGTTGCCCATGAGAATAATAGGGCGTATCTTTTTCAACCCTTTTCAACCTTCACAAGGAAATTCAACAATGTGATACTTTGGACAGAAACTTATTATTTTCTTTTGTTAGAAGTTTCCTACATGTGTACTACAATGGTATTAATTTAGAAAATGATTAGAAAAATTCTGCATTTTTAGACTCTGAAAGAGTGGACCGAGACTTTTAATCATAAGGTTCACAGTTTTGCAGAGCTGTATTTGAGAGTTTATGCTGCTGTTTGCGTGATGCCAGTTTTCTTTGGGTTGAAGTGAAGGAAATGTGCAGGTGCTGAAGAATGAAACAGTAGCACAGGTATTAGAAGTGTATAAACTGTTCTGTAAGAAAAAAAATGTTTTTTTAAAGATTTATTTATTTATTCATGAGAGGCAGAGACACAGGCAGATGGAGAAGCAGGCTCCATGCAGGAAGCCCAATGGGGTACTTGATCCTGGGACTCTGGGATCACGCTCTGAGCTGAAGGCAGAGACTCAACCACTGAGCCACCCAGGCATCTCTGTTCTATAAATATTTTTAAAACTAAGTCTTTCTTAGGTATTTGAAAAAAGATTTTTAAGTAGTTTAAAACAAAAAAATTTTCCTGAGATATTTTAAAACTTACTAAGTAAAAAATGTCCATTTTATCTCATTTCCAAATTACAGTTGTAATAATTTTGCATTTCAGTGATACTTTTCAGATTAATGGGCGGTGGAAATAGCTATGTGGTGTTTTGTTAGTGTTTTGTGAATTATGTAACTGTAAGAGACATCAACAGGCATAAGATTGCCTCATCTGCTTATAAGATTTGTCTTTTGGAGCCAACTGGGGCAAGTGACATTGTTCTTTTAAATAGTAGATCTTTAAAAACTGTTGACTCGTTTTTTTTCCTTAATTTCAACTTTGTTACATCCATTCAGTCTTTTTCATGCTGCCAAGTAAGTAAATATTTTCCATGTTTTCATGTTATTTGGAGATTATATTTTAAATGTTTTTCCATAGGTCATTAAATTTTTCCTAAGTTATAAATCCATAAATAGTGAATTATTTGTATTGACTTAAATAATCCTTTCCATTTGTTTCAGTCTTTCCCTGACCCTTAGAAACTAAGTCACTCCTAATTAGATATACAGAGTTTACATTCAAATCACCATATATTTTTAAGACCATTTTCTTCAGTAGCCTATGAAAAAGCAAGTTAGAATCCACCCCCCCTTCTTGATAGTTAATAGTACTTGTGGAGAGAAACAGTCTTTCTCCTGCTTTTTTAGAGAGTACTTGTTTCAAAACTTGGATTTAGGTTTGTCAGATAATAAGTCCTTTAACCTTTCTGAGTTTTACTTAATTTTGCATCTACCAAATAAAATCCCTTTAACTCAGATGTCTCTTATTTCCAAGGCATTATTGCCCACAAAAATAAAAAAAAGAAATGTGTTATTAAAAGCCTAAAACAATATATAGTGCCTGAGTCAGTTTTAATTGACATAGCTTCTCATATCTGTGGTAGAAAGTTTTCTCTCCCCCCCGTATGTCCTTAAGATCTCATCTGAAAAATTGTATTCTCTTTGCAGAGCTTATGAGCAAGCTGGCATGATGTTAAAGGTCAGTAATGTGCCACAACTGTCTTGTAGGTAAAATGAATTAACTACAAGGTGTTAAAGTAGATTCACATGGAAGTGAAAAACTCTTCTAGCTGTAAGGCCAGAGGTGCTAAGATTTCTTATCCCAAGTATTGCTAATTGAACCCAAGGATACATTGTATGCACCTTAAGATAGAGAGTATTAAAGGTGAAATTTAAAAGAATATGTTGGCAGGAACTGGGAACAACAAATTTCTAAGCTTTGCAACCAGGAGAGTGTTGCTAGACAAGAGCTAGATGAGAGACTCCCCTACTTCTGAGAACTTGACATTTAATGTAAAATTTACAAGTGTGTGTGTATATATATGTATATATACATATTTTTATATGTATATATACATATAAAATATACGTATATATACATATATATGTGTGTGTGTATATATATATATATTTTTTTTTTAAACTACTCCTGGGTGGTTTCATATCCTGTTTGCTCCACAGAAGCCATAGGGTAACTGAGGCACACAAACCACTGACAATAGGCATATTTTCATTTTCTTCTTAATGATTTTGCTGGGGTACAAAAACATGGGGAAGAATATAAATAGTGTAACTTCTAAGAAGGCAGCCCATCCTTTTTTACTTTGTAACTGAATAATAAAAAAGTCACATGCAGAAGTCAGTAGGAATGAGACCAGCAAGTTTTATATCCTAAAGAATTTGTCAACTTAGGTGCTGAATAGGCAGACTGAAAACAACCCTTGAATTGTCAGTGTGGAGCATACTTTAAGATGGTAACCTTATGTGGATAATACCTGTAAACTTTATGTCTAGCTTTTCAGTGATTTTTCTTCCTTTTTTTAAGAAGAGTTTTGATTTGGAGATAATAGATATAAGGACCACAGGATGCTGAGACCTATGATTTCATAGTAAGAAACAGAGTTATTGTGCTGGTGGCACTCCTCATGAAAGGGGGCTGCAAGCTCAGATGAGCTCAGGATCTGGGCAGTGACTGGGGTGCAGGAGGCAGGCCCTGGTGTGGGCGGCAGCGAGGAGTATGGAGAAATGCAGCCACCACCAAGAGGCACCATGCTTCCAGGACAGCTGCTGCTCAGTCCCAACCTACCATTGCCTTGTGGGAATGCCAGCCTGCTGATGCCGCAGCTTGTGATCTTTTTCTTAAATTTGGAAGCCGTAGAATAGAACCTTTGTGAAAGGATCTAACTGGAAACTACTAAAGCAAGATGCACTTGGAAATGAGGTATGGCCCTTGAGCTGCCAGTTCACAGCCTTTGGCATAAGCTTCATAGATAGAAGGGACTCAGTAAATGTGCAAAGAATTATAAATCTTAGAAAACATTTAAGAGCAAATGTTTTGGTTTCTACCATTTGTAGAGTTTTTCTGAAACTCAAAAGTGGTGAGGAGCTCTGTGTAGAAATTCACTGAATACCTTTTTAGATTGGCCGAATGAAGCTTGATGGGGAAGAGTAACCATGTGAAGGCGTTTCGTCCTAAATGTATTTGTTGTTATATAACATTTTGAATCATTTATCTTCATGAAATAGGAATAAAATGAATTTCAGATTGCTAATTGTGCATTTAAATTGATGCATTTACTGATCCATACTGTATCCTTTGCCTGAAGGAGATGCAGAAACTGCCTGAGGCTGTTCAGCTGATTGAGAAAGCCAGCATGATGTACCTAGAAAATGGCACCCCGGACACAGCAGCCATGGCATTGGAGCGAGCTGGAAAGTGAGTGTTGGCACAGGTTTCTGCATAGAAGCCATTGGCTGTTTGTCTTAATAAAATCCTTTGGAAAACAAGTTTTCTCTTTCTCATAGAAGTCCAATTTTCTTGTCATATAGGCTTATCGAAAATGTAGATCCAGAAAAGGCTGTACAATTATATCAACAGACAGCTAATGTGTTTGAAGTAAGTTTGAATTTGATTTTTTTCCTTTAAGTATACTTAGAATGTTTAGATTCATAACATGTAGGAAAATAGAGAAATGCAGTGACTGCTTTTGAAAATGTATCTGTGCTCACAATTGAACTGTGTTTTTTTTATATTAATAAAATGGATTAGCAGCATTGGTACTTTTCCCCCCTGCCCACTTTGATCGAGTGCTATTACTTGTCTTTCAAATAATTATTGGGAGGAAAAAAAGATTCCTAGGGTAAAGAAGCCAATAAATAGTCTCTTTTCTTTGATTCCTTCAGAATGAGGAACGCTTACGACAGGCAGTTGAATTACTAGGAAAAGCTTCCAGGCTGCTGGTACGAGGCCGCAGGTGAGATTTCCAGAACTGTGTTCTTCTGTGTCCATGTCAACCTTCAGTCCACATGTGGAACTGCTAAGTAACTTGGAGAATTGCTTGGTAAGGTTTTTGGTGTAAGCCACAGGCACACTAGGCTGCCTAGCAGAAAGAGTGGTGTAAGAGGGAACATTGAATTAAGTATCAACAGAATTGCCGTTTTTCTAAATATGACGCCAAAATGTATCATAAATTATGCTTTTATTGATTAAAACCTGGCTCAGCAGCATGAGAAAGCAGTGTTCTTGATATGTTATTTGGTTGGGTTATGATGTGTTTTTCTTGATACATATCTACATAGGCATAAATAACATACTCAAAGTGCTCACCCATGCAAATTGACAGGTTCTTGACAGTTAAATAGTGTCATTGAATAGGAAATTTGGCATTTGTTTTTTCATCCTTTAAGCATACGACTCAAGGCATAAATAATAGTTGGACCCCAGCAAACTTAGAATTCTACTGGATTTTCCTTTGTTTTTTACTTTACCTTAATTTAAGCTTAGTAAACATTTTGTCATTAATAAAATTCTGTTTGCCAAAATGTTGTTTAGTAGCATTTAAGGTAAAAATGCTTAGAAAACTATAGGTCAGAAAAAAAAAAAAAAAGAAAACTATAGGTCTGAAGATAGATCTTTTCATTAAAATTTGCCCATAGTTCCCCCGTGACAGAAAATTTGCCCCAGTTCCCCCGGGTTATATTTTGGGAAGGAACCAAAAAACAAATGACTAAAGAGTCTATTGACTCCTTTCTGAGATGGAATTAAGTGCTTGCTTCATGAACACTACAGATCTGAAATATAATTCAAGCAAGTTTAAAGTAGCATCAGAATAAATTACTATAGAATAATAACTCTTATGTGTTGTTATTTAGATGGACTATTTTATAGGACCTTCTTTCATTGATTAGGTTTTTTGTTGGTCTAAACTGAATAGTATATTAATTTTGTTTTTAAAGACTTTATTCATTCATGAGAGAGACATAGAGAAAGGCAGAGACATAGGCAGAGGGAGAAGCAGGCTTCCTGCAGGGAGCCGATGTGGGACTCAATCCCAGGACCTCGGGATCACACCCAGAGCCAAAGGAAGATGCTCAACCTCTGAGCTACCCGGGCATCCCTTAATTTTGTTTTTAGGACTTTTGTATTAAACCATGAGACAAAATTTAATTTATATGTCAGCCTTAGGTCATTACCTTTATTCATCTTAATTCTCCTGGCCTCCTAGAAATCCAAACCACTAGAATACTAACTCTGGCAATTCTCAACTTCAAATGATGGTATAGTAAGTTCAGACTAGTCCCTGAAAAGGTTTCTTATAGTAACAGCTGTTTGTGGTGATGGTCCTAGGTGTTGTAGAAGAGCCGAACTATAAGATAGTACCTAAATTCTGACCCTTTGAGCAGGTCCTCATACTTGTAGAAACAGAGAATGGTGCCCTGGGCTCTACCCATTAGAGGGCAGACAGGGACATTGTGGCATACTTTTACCTCTTTTTCTCATCCACTCCCCTGATGTTCTTCCCCCAAGGCCTCCAGTGCCTTCTTAGGGCTCAAGTCCCATTGACCACTGAAAGTCTAAGAAGCAAAGTTGGAAGTAGGGCAGAAAATAAGCTCCACTCTGTGTAGATGTGGGCTCTCCTTCAGCTTCCCTATGATCTTTCTGCTTTCACATCTGCTCCCCTTCTGTTTTCCAGACTGAGATTATCTAAAGCTAGGTTCCAGGAGAGTAGCAAAGGGGTGGGGTGGTGGGGCCAGAACCTCCTCAGGAGGGCCGCTGAGCACCATTTTCCAGCTACGTATGCATGTTCCTCTGGAAAGCTCCACCATGGAGTGGTAGCCACTATCATTCCCTGAAGTGTCTGGTTGACGTGTGTAGTGAGAACCATTATTTTAGAACAAGTTTTCTTCAAAGTTGTAGAAAGTGGTGTGGAGATGCTGGAAAGAGGGACATTTATAAATCTAGGGCAACCAGTACATCTTTTAATTACTTTGTGAATTTGTTTTACTGCTTTTTGTCTTCCTTTTGAGTAAAAATGCATTGAAAAAATGATAGTATTTTACACAGTGTTTTGAACAAAAATCATGAAAATATTTGTTTAAGTTATAGATTGATATAAAAATTGATTTGAATTTATTCAGGAGTGTTATGGAATTTGATATTTGAAAGCAGAGTATGAAAAAATTAAAAGTTAGCTGTCACAATACTGCCATCAGGAATTTCAGTATAGTGCAGAGTAAGAAAAACCTGGAAGATCTATGCTAATAGAAAGATAACTGGGAGAATTTACGTGATATTTGAATATTTTGAATACATATTGGTTATAATCTGAATTGGTGCTACCATTTGTTTAAAAGAACTAGAACAAAAAAAACTAGAACAGTAATTTTATGTTTATGCAAATAACATCTAATAGAGTATAGCATGCAATTTTAAATTTTATGCTTATTACATTTAGATAATATGCTTATATTTTTACATTAATGTGATTTTGTAATATTTAATCCTAACTTAACAATAGTTTATATTTTAGGATGGCAAAATTAAATATTTAATATATTTGTATTAGTCCCCTGCTCCTCCCTCTTTTCTGGAGAGCCATAATTAGAAGTCAGTCAGAGTTAATTTGAGTTGCATCTGTGAGGCCTTAAATCATGGCAGTTGCCAGTGTTCCCTCCCTGAAAAGGCCTTTCCAGTTGTTTTGACTTTGCAGGGAAACGTATGATCCTCTGCCTTCCAGAGAAATTCTGAGGCAGCTGAGCTGGTTGGTAACTCTGCGTGGTTGGCTCTCTGAACCAAATCCAGAACGCTTTCCAGAGTTTTGTCATGATTCCTAACAAGGAGGAGAACCCGATTTCTGTATCAGTTAACCACCCCTACCCCCACCTGACTCCACACTTCCAAGGGTTTCTCTTAGGCTCTTACCAGTTGACTGAGACACTCACTGGACTCTAAACTCAGGGAGGCCTGGGTTTGTGTATGTGGAGTAGGTACTAGTTAAGCATAATCACTAGGTTTCTGTCTTGCATAACTTTGTCCTGTCCGTTGTGATGCCAAGTTATTGGGATCATGATAATGAATCGTTTGAAAAGTTTTGTAAGTAGTTAAAAATATGTCGTGGACTTCAGGAAGCAGTTGGTGCCAGAGGAGGAGTTGTACGTCATGGTGAGGGAGAATGCCATTGAAAGGTGGATTGAGTGAAGTCCTATGACAATTTCTTGTCATATGCACATAATTTTTGTGGCATTTTATTTTATTTTTGAATTTCAGGAAGATAAAAATAATTTATTCTCTTTCAGCAAAACCAAGTGTATTTTATTTTGTTAGGAGTATTAAGAATTAACTTTGGGTTTCATTTTAACTTATGAATAATTTCCTGATATATTTGAAAACAATTGGCTTTATATATCAATTTCATGGCTTTTTAGCCAAGTAGATCAGTTTTTTTTGATTACATATAAATATACAGTATTTCTCTTAGATGGGTGTTTTGCTAGTTCGCGGTTATTTGCACACAGAAATGCTGTTTTTATGCCAAGGAAGTAAGTCATGTGGGAAGAATGCAGCCTTAATAGTTAAATATGTGAAAAACTTAAAACATTAAGATTCCTACTAGAATGATATAATATGGATGGTCACCAAATGTTCTGATGTAATGTTTTTTATAAAATAGGATCTGGGATAAGCTCAAAGTCATAATTACAAATGATATAGATATATGTAATCCCCCATATTAATTTCCTTTTCTATATGACAAATAGCCACAAACGTAGCAGCTTAAAACAGCACTCATTCACTGTCTCACAGCTCTGTGGGTTAGAAGTACAGGCCCAGTATAGCTGAGTCCTGTGCTCAGAATCTCACTAGGCTGGAATCAGGTGCCCCATATGGCTGTGATCTCATTCCAGGCCTACTGGTTGTCGGCAGGATTCCTTTCCCTGCAGCTGTAGGATGCATACCCATGTTTTCTTGTCAGCTGTTGGCTAGAGTCAGTTCTCCGACTTACAGGTGCCTGTAGTTCCTTGGCATGTACCCTCTGGATGGTTTACAAGATGGTATAGTTAGCTGCTGCTTCAAAGTTAATAAGAGTACATCTCTTGACTTTCAACCTCTGAGCTTTCAAGAGCTCATATGATTAGGTCAGGCTCATCTGGACAATCTTCTCTGCATCAAAGTCAGTTGATTAGTATCCTTACAGGAGTGAGTTCCATCATATTCAGAGGTTGTGCCCACATTCAAGGGGAAACTGTACAAGGAGTGTATATGAGGAGAAAAGGTCTTGGGGAATAATCTTACAGTTCTGCTACCATGCCCAACGTATAAACTGGCTTTGTTCCCAAAATTTAGCAAATTGATCTTTGGAAATTCAGAATGCATTTCTCCAATGAATCTTACTGTATGAAGTAAGGTGTGAGGGCACAGCCCACAAAAATTCAGTTTAATTCACATGAGTTAAATCAAGCCATAGTGCGCACATATATGTGTGTGTGCACATGCGTGGAGATCTTTTTAAAAGATAATTGTTAACATACAAAAAAGTGTAGTGTAATGTTTTTATATTTTAATTTGGGCTATGAAATAGCTCTTTCCCACTGCATCCTAATAGTGCAGACTGCTTGCCATTTTCACTTTCGGGGTGAGGGAGATGGGCAAGGTATGTACACTTCCTTTAGACATAGGTTAGATGCCAGGAAGAGAGTCTCAGGACAGGGGCATGATAAGCTTGTAAAAGCAGTAAGGAGCTGCTTAGGGTGTGCTGGAATTGAGGCTGTGGCATGGGAAGGGAGAGGACCTTGGAGGATTGGTGAAATGGTATTGAAGATGCTTTCTTCTTCATCTTGCCATCTGAGTAGGATGGAAGAAAAGGAGAATGGGTGACAGTTCTTTGAAACAGGTGAATGTCAAGGATGAAAGGTGGCAGGAAGGATGTTTTCAGTGGCCCACTGAGGCAGCAGTGGAGAGTGGCAGTGAGGACGGAGTGGGGAAGGAATTCTCCAGCAGGCAGTGCCTCTGGGATGTCTAGATGGCTTTAGAGGAAGGAAAGAACTCTGGGATGATTAAATTGGGAGTTGTCTAATACTTTTCACAAAACTTCACAGAGCAGTTTATTGAATTGGATTGATGCTCATTAATGGATGATCTTTACCAGACTTAAACTACTCTATTTGAAATAACCTATCCTTAAGTTCTGCTTTTTGCCTGTCTGCTTAATGCACGAACAGGTGAACAGTTTAAAAGATAAGCCAGACACATGTGCAGAGCTCATGGAAATTGGGTTGTGGAGCAGTTGCTAAAAATGCCTGAAGCCTTCTTACTTTTGCTAAAATCTGTAATACCAAACACAACAGTGATTGCTGCTTTAGATCATTTAGAGCTGTCTTATTTGACATTTCTTTGTTTTGTCGTTAGGTTTGATGAGGCAGCACTTTCTATTCAGAAAGAAAAAAATATTTATAAGGAGATTGAAAATTACCCGACTTGTTATAAGGTATGTTTTGAAAGTGTTTATTTTTAGCTTTACATTGGTTAATTTTTCATATTGGTGCAACTATATAAGACTGGATTCCTTGGATATTTTAAAAAATAATTTTGGTCAAGATGGAGTAAGCCCACCATAGTCTATCTTTCCTGCTGATACAACAAAAACTTCTGGACAAAATTGAAAAACTTCAGGACTGTGAAAAATAATAGCAGGAGGAGGGAGCACTTGGAGAAGCAGCCAGTAAGGGAGTGGGTTGCTAGCATTTTCCCTGTTTCTCTTGCGCCTTGCCTGAGAGAAGCCCTCAGTCGTGGAGCTGGGCAGCAGAGGTTCCACCAGCTAATAAAATGCCCAAGGAATCCATCTAGCCAGAGTTTCTAACTGGAGAGATGGGGAAAAGCAGCCCCATTTTTTTTCCTCTTGTTTTTCCCTTGGCTTTACTCTGAAGGTAAGCTTTAGTCTGGACCAAGCAGCGGCTGTGACGGTGGTGCAGGCAGGTAAAACACCCCAAGAGGCTTATTGGTCTCTTTGTTCAGAGGAGCTAGGACGATGAGCTAAGAGCAAGGAGAAAAGCCCAGGAAAGAGGAAAAGGGAATCCCCTGAGTGTGGGTGTGAGCAAGTGCCCACACGAGTCCAGCTCTATGTCTGGTGGACAGACGTGGAGCAGCAGAGCATAGGCCTCGAGAGCTATAGTAAGATTTCGTCACCAACCAGGACTTGCAGCACCTGGCAAGGCTCTTGTGTGGGGCTGAGTTGCAGCCGTGGGGCAGGGGCACTGAAGACTATAGTTGCTGCCCACTAAGTGCAGACAGAACAGGCATCCAAGCCCGACTGCTGGGTCACCTGCTGGAAATCTCACTCTCCTGAGAATTATAGGATAGTCTGTGCAGCAAAGCACCACAGCGTCCAGGATATAGTCTCAAAGCACTCAACATTAGGAAGTCAGGAAAATAGGACCAGTTCCCAAGAGAAGACAACCAGGGAAACCCAGAGATGTCGCCCAGCTGCGGGAATTACCAAGTCATGACTGCAAAGTAGCTATTTTAACTATTCCATGGGATATAAAGATAAATAGATGAATGGACAAAAGGATTGTGTTTTTGTTTTATTTTAGATTGAAACTAAAATAGAATTTTGGAACTGAAAAAAGCAAATGTCTACAGTAAAATACTGGATTAAAGTTAATCTGATGATGGAGATGTTACAAAGATTCAGCAAACTTAAGGATAGATCAATAAAAGCCTGAAAAAGAAAAAAGATTGAAAAACACATTATGAAGAGCTGTTTGCCAATAAGATCTTATTAGTCACATCTTTGGTCTTGCTAATGCCTTTGTGGCTTATAAATAGTATTGTTCCTATCATCTAAAGTTTTTTTCATTCATTAACCATTTTCCTAGTATTTCTTTAAGAATTCCAAAGTGTTGTGGCATCATGGGTCCCAGTTCAAGATTTCCCTTTTCAAGATTAAACCTGTATAGATATTTAAGAGACATTTTCTTTACAGTGTATGGTGGTCGTGTTCTAAGTTGTGTTATTCAGTGTGATCCTCAGACCACCTGGGCTTGCCTTGGACCCCCTAACTCAGCCTTCACGTAACAAGACCCTGAGTAGTTTGAGATGTACCATGGCAGGGCATTTTCCCTCACGTGTCCCGTGGAAGTTACTAAGAATTTATAAATCTCTGTAGGCAAACCAGGACTGTAAAGTTCAATTCTAGACGTCAAGAAATTGACTTTACGAACAAGTTTGGTGTAACTGGACCATAATCACCTCTTTTGTTTTAGAAAACAATTGCTCAAGTCTTAGTTCACCTCCACAGAAACGACTACGTGGCTGCAGAGAGGTGTGTCAGGGAGAGCTACAGGTAAGATGCTGGCAGCCCTGTCTTGCAGTGTAAAATTTCTATTTCCCGATGGAAGATCACTGTTTAGACAGCTGTTCTTGGCCATGAAGCTATTTTTGGTGTTGTAAAAAATTTCATAGTGAAAAATTTTGTAGTGGTAGGTAGACTTACCTGCCAATTCAGCAGGATTTTTTTTTTTTTTTTACAAGTTGTGATCTTTCATGTTTTCCTCCTGGGGATTTCATGGGAGTGAATGACCGGAATGATTTTGTTCCATTTGTCTTCTGAGACAACAACAAAAAGAGTAAAGAAATGTTCTCAGATTGCATGTTATGGGAAGATCATTTCCTGTTGGATGTAGTTACAGTGAGTGGTCTCAATCTGCGTATGTTTGCAAGCCACCCATTTCCTGAGGTGGAATCCCTTGCTCTTCTTGGGCCTGTGCGCTGTGGGACGTCTAGAGTATCCCAGGCCTCTTTCCACCTGTTAACAAAAATGTCTCCAGATATTGCCAAACATCTGGGGAGGGGGGGACAGAACCCCCTGAGGGCAGGTGGAGGGGTGTGACTCGTGCTTGCTGTAGCATTCCAGGGTTCAGTGGGAGTGAAGACTGTGCTGCCCTGGAACAGCTTCTTGAAGGCTATGACCAACAAGACCAAGACCAAGTATCTGATGTCTGCAACTCGCCACTTTTCAAGTACATGGACAATGATGTAAGTGGCCTTTATTTCTTTTTTCTTGAAAGGTAGAGGTAGAGATTATTTTTCTCCTATGGGCTTGTGAGATTTCCCCCTCTATTTTATACCTCCAGCCACTGCTTACGGAGGAATGTGGCATTGGCACTGAATTTCACTGTATTCTTAGACTGTTTAGATGTCAACCTTGTGGGTTTACAGCCTTTTATCTAGCCATCTGATGGTGTTGAGTATGTATACTTTTTAATTCGGCTCCATTTCTCTGCCTTTCCTACCACCTTTTGACCTCTGTAAGTTGCTTAGTTTAAGTTTCTTTTAGGCTTCACTTTCTGAAAGAGGCTCATCAGGTAGTGGCCTTTGTAATTTGATACACTTCTCGGAAGCCTACTTCTTTGACAGCTGGTTATGTGATGCTGGTTACTAATGAACTCTGTGAGCCTCCATTAACTCATCCGTAAGAAGGGAGCAGCTGGTCCTTGTCTTGCCAGCCTGTCTTGCAGAATAGATTGGTCTGCATGTGAGAAATGGCCTCACACAGTGCTGTATACAGAACATGAGCTGTGACTGTGGCTTTCCCTTTTTAGTAGATTTCTGAGCCCATGTTCATTTGATTTGGTATCAGATCAACTTGAGACCTTTCTTTTTGGTAATGATGTGGATAGAGGAATCCATTTTTTTTCCTAGGTAAAGTCTTATATAGGCTTTTATAAGTTTATTAAGACTTTGTCCCTAGCTTAACTCTTCATTTACTCAACAGATCTTTATTTTGTAGGTACAGCAAGTATTACTTAACTGAGTGTGTCCCAATTATCTCAAATTCCCAAGTGTGGCATATAACTGATGACCAGTTGTATATCTGTCATGTCATGGTCATGAGCCATCTGATGGCAGTGCACTGTTGAATTTTTTGTGGTGGTTTTTACATTTTAATGGTAGTATTGGTTTTCCTGAGGTAGAAAATTAAGATCTCTCTCTTATAGATAGCTACAGTTGACATTGACACATGGCATATTGAGATTCCTGTTGTCCAGCTTCTGAGAACATGCTTTGTCGTTGACAGTATGCTAAGCTGGGCCTGAGTTTGGTGGTTCCCGGAGGGGGAATCAAGAAGAAACCTGCGGCACCACAGGCTAAATCTGAAGGTGCCACCGCCCCCACCGCTGAGGAAGACGAAGATGAGTATGCAGGAGGCCTGTGCTAGGATCTTGCTGTGCTGCAGAAAGGAAGAACAAAATCCTGACATGCCATTCATGGACTTGGACCTTGTCTGAGGGGATCCAGATTTCATTGCAGTCATAGCTTTGAAAATGCTAATAGATTCATGTTTAGTCATCATTTCCCTAAGTCACCCATCATACCCACTACCTGAAAACACTTTTTTTCTTTCCATAACAGCCTTTCTAAGACACCATCAGGAATTAATAGAAAAAATGTACTGACACATTTTAACACAGTTGATTTTTAAATTTGCAAGCTACAAACTGTGTTCCAAACAAAAGGGACAATAGGCATAGAAATTCTTTTCTGTTGGGCTTTTGTGATTTATTGTTAGAGAATTCCCCTTTCGTTTTATTTAATAATTGCTGCTAAAAGTGAAGTTTACTGAGTTAAAGTAGTATTTCAAACTTTTGAAAATGAAGTTTATCCCCAGTGATATTAGATACATTTAAATTATTAAATCTTCAAATCTTTTCAGAGGCACGATTGGGTCAGGATGCTATTTTGAGCCTTACAATACTGTTTAGCCCAATAAAAGATAGGTTTAAAGTCTTATGTGTACATTGAAAGTTTTTACAGTATATTCAACTCCTTTATGAAATACATTTTTGTACCTAAATAAACACACCAGTGACTGTCCCCAAATCCATTTGGTTCTTGACTAAATGGAAACTAATGATTGTTTTTATGCATTCTAAGAGGGGATGTTCCCATCAAACCTAGAATATAGACATTTTTTTCCCTCCAAAATAATTTCTGATTCATTTAGAGTTGCAGCAGGACAGTAACTGGACATGGAAAATGCTGTGTACTTAACATTTAGCTGAAAGGGAAGAATTGTTTCTGAAGTACTTCTTTTTAGAGGACTGTGCTGCCAATATTTTAGTCCTTGTAGGTACTCCTGAAAGGTTATTTTTGAAGCATTCCTTGTCCACCTGTGTGGTTTGGCCCTATCTCCAAATCTGTTAATTGAAGAGAGGTGCCAGTCAGCAGCAGCATGCATTCTGTAGGCACTTGCCACCCAGAGTGGTTTCCTGCTCTGGGAAACCATAGAACAAAGAACAAAATCCTGACATGCCATTCACGGACTTAGACCTTGTCTGAGGGTATCAAGATTTTCTTGCAGTCATGGTTTTGAAAATGCTAATAGAGATTCATGAAGCCATGAATCTCCATGAGCCAGCCTTATATGAGTCCATTGTGTGTAGTTTGCTGCTCCTGGGGACACCAAGGCTCATTATGATGAATGGTTTTAGCCATAGTTGTTTCCAAGGAAGGGGAGGGCTTAGCTGGTTGGCAGGGGCACTTGTGTGGCAGGTGCACTTAAATGGGTGGTGGGAGGGTAGAAATCTTTATTGAAGATCTGATTTAAAACTCTAGCAAATTTAATGTTTTGATTCCTCAAGTTACCTGCATAGTTCTGCAGGTAGCAGCTCATTTTCAATAATTGTATGGAGGTTAACTTGGGACAGCCTCAGTGAGGCTGCATTTAGAGACATTTGTACTGGATGGTGGCACACTAATACTTCCAAGATCCTGCCATTGCTGCTGTGCCCTTTAGATCCATTCGGAAACTTCAGGAATCTTGTGTTAATGGTCATGTGAGTTAAACAGCCATCTGTCTAAACAGATTTGGCAGCACTTAAAAGGTATTTTAGACCATTTGTTTACAGACTATATTACTCATTGCAGCCTTGGAAAAGTTCTTAACTTTTACATATTAAAAATGAGGAGTGCTTGATTCAGTGCATTCTGTTTTAGCGGGGTAGCTGACCCTTAACAACATAAAAGGCTCTATTTTAAGTGCAGCCTCTTCCCCCCTCCCTGCCCACATTTAGGAACTAACGTGTAGGACTTGGGGGTATTTCTTTGATGTCAGGGTTGATGTGTGGTGTCCGGGAAAGAGCCCTTGTTTCATCTTCATGCATTTTATTTTTCCACGTACAGAAGTCTTTATCCTGAGAGTGTGGTCAAAAGCAGGAAACGTGTTTACAACAGGAAAAACATTTCCAGAACTCATGTCATCCCTTTTACCAAAGTGGAAGTCTGCATGAAAATGCTCAGAATTGAATACTCAGTGTTATTATATTGTAAGTGAAGTCAATCTAGAAATATATTTAATATATTGAATTTATTTGTACATATGCAGAATATTATGGTATTTGTGTATGGAATCTGTGCTTCTTATTTTTTTTCCAGTTCTTTGATGAGTAAATATTAAATGTATTGTTATGGAAATATAGATTATTGCTTCTATGGGAAGATAATTATGAAAATAAAATCTGAAACTGTGTAAGTATGACTGTTACTATTACTCATTTTGCTTTGCTTATTTCTGTTTTTCCAGGGACACATTCTTAGTTATTTATGTGATTTCAGCTCTGTTCTACAAGGGTGGTATTTTGTTCTCTTAAATTGTGTATTCTGTTCTTTGGGAGTCACCTAAGTACCTTTAGGAGTTACTTGAAACTGTTTGAGCTTTTTAAAATACTGATCACCCAGTTACTATACTGTACTATCTGCTACTTGGTGAAATGGAAGACTATACTAATCTTTCAAGAGAGTAATTCTCTCATTAAGGGAGGCAATGGATGTCAAGTGCCTCACTTCCAGGATGGACCACTTATTGCTGGAGGGACACTCTTGAATTCCTTTTCCCTGCACTCGGATCCGTAATGCTCCCTTGTCCCTCCCTGAGAGTGGAAGCCATGGAGCAGAGCCCTCACCTGGAGCAGGAGTGAACGAGGTTTCCTGTCATCTTAGTATGTCCCAGGATTTGGGCGTAAGGTGACTATTACTAATTATTCAAGAAATTTTTCTTGAAAAATATATTTATTATTTATTCTATTTAAGGATACAAACCTGGAATAAGGCATAATTTGTTATAAGGTGTAATTTAGTAGGTCTTTAAACAGCACATAGGACTTTGCTGTTAAGAGTTGACGGAAGCTGTACTGTGTGGCGTGGGTGAGCCAGGCTTCTGAGCTGGCGTGATCCCAGCTGACTTGCTGTGGATCTTGCTTGGGTAAACCAGTTTCCTCACTTAACCCAGAAACATCCTGGTGCCCCTAAGAGCAGCCTTGAGGATTAAGAGTTCATAAGTGCTAATTGTTTAACAGAGTAATTGACAAATAGTAGGTGTTCAGTGATGAATGAGATCATGAACTCTGGGAGAGAAGAGGTCAGCTAATAGTTCCAATTTTGACAGCCAAACTTTGTTGGCATTTGAGATTACAGTATAAGTCATTTTATCTAAGACCTCATTTTATTTTCCTCATGGCCCGATTGTAACTTCGGATAAGCCTTTGTTAGGGACTTGTATCTCTGCTGGTTGGTGCCTCCCAGTTCCACTGACTGACGGGCTGCAGCCCTCGGGCTTTGCACATTCAGGATGCTCCCTGCCCTGCCTCAGACTTTTGTTTGTATCATTCGTTGCTTCCTGATCTCTTGGAAGCTGAAATCTGCCTGCCTTCAGACCAGGACCAGTGGCTCTGAACCTGGGGGTGTAGTGGGGTGACAGCCCAACATCTCCCTTCCCCCTTTGGAAACTGAGCTAGCTACTTTTCAGCCTTGTGACGGGCCCTCAGTGCTCATGTTGGGATTCTGTCCACACCCCCTGGCTACAGTGGTTTGTTCTCAAAGTTGGCTTCAGACTCAGGCTGAGCAGATTAGGGTTTGTTCCCTCTCAGAGATTGTGGGATTTGGTCTCACTATCCAGATTGCTCTCTCCCTCCTGTTTTATTTTACTTCCTAGCACTTCTCAGTACTTGAAACTATGCTATGTGTTTATTATCTACAAATGGTGAGAACTCCAAATATTAAAATATGGTCTGTACGAAAGCAGGGCCTTCATTCTTGTCCTCACCTGTGGGTCTTCGGGAACAGTTTTGACACATGGTAGGCATCAAATAAATATTAATAGGTACATGAGCAAAATCACTCAACAAATGTTACTCTGTTTGCTTTTATTGAAATTTTCCTGTCCTACTCTTCATCTCTGTTAATTGGTATTAGCCAGGACTTCATTAGTACTTTTTAAACCCAACAGGTGTAATATTACTAAGTTCATGAAAATGTTCTTTAATTTATGGGCATTGTTTTCTCCCTCCATCCATGCCTAATTTAGAGGGATTGAACATACCCTGCTGCATATTATTAGGCCAAAGCACATGAATGACTTAAAGATATGCTCTGAGAGGGCACCTGGGTGGCTTGGTCAGTTAAGCGTCTGCCTTTAGCTCAGGTCATGATCTCAGGGTCCTGGGATCAAGTCCCATATCAGGCTCCCTGCTCAGTGGTGAGTCTGCTTCTCCTCCCTCTGCCTGCTGCTCCCCCTGCTTGTGCTGTCTTCATGCTCCGTCTCTTTCTTTGTGAAAAATCTTGTATGTTTTTTAAGCTCTTATTTATTTATTCATGAGAGACATAGAAAAAGAGGCAGAGACACAGGCAAAGGGAGAAGTAGGCTCCCTATGGGGAGCCTGATGCCGGACTTCATCCTGGGACCCTAGAATGAGCCAAAGACTGGGCTCAACCACTGAGCCATCTAGGCATCTCTCTCTCATTCATTCTCTCTCTCTCTCTCTCTCTCTCTCTCTCTTTTTAAGTAAAGACCCCCTTTGAGAAATACGTGAGCACATGGAAATCCATTCAGCTACCTGCCCTCTAGGGTATCTTGGGTGACTCTCAGGCTGCAACTTCTCCAGGTATCAGAGCCCAACCATGAAGTTGTTTTATTGCTTGAAGCTGAGGCACAGTTTGGCTTTGATTTCCCAGGGGTGATGGAGAGATGGCCATTGGGAAAGAAACAAATGTGAAACAAACATGGTTTGAGTTGCACTCTTCAAACCTTAGAACTCCTACACAGAAACCTTGCCTTTCCTCTTGAAGCCCTTCTTCAGCTCTTTCTAGAACCTGGGCTTCCAAGTTCAAGAAGTGGAACATCTTCCCGCTTATTCTTTTCACTGAAGACCTTGGTGGTGAGAATAGTCAGCACTGCTGTAGCTTATTGTACAGACAGCTTTCAGAAGTCCCCTTGCCTGCTGAGGATTTCTGTTCAGAAGGAAACTAGTGTTACACTTTTAGTGTGCTTAGGTTCAATCTTGATGCCAGCAGCTCCTTTTAACTGTGCTGTTAGCAAATGTTTCTTGGAATTTGATTGAATATGATTTTTAATTAAGGAGTCTTTATAAATGTTGCTGGGCAGAGTGGTACCTCCCAGAACCATGCAGAGAAATGTTTTTAGCGTCAGGGCCAAAGCCAAGCATGCTAAATGAACTCATGATTGAACTGTCATGCTTAGAGCATTGTAGAATTAGCAACACATGTTTTGCTATATCCCCAGATTTAGGAAGTGGTTTTGTAGCTGACTTGCATCTTCCAACATCTTCAACAGCTTCCTCAGTCTCTGAACGTTTTGTTTTTATCTTTGTGTCTTTGCCCCATGGTCACCTCCGCAGGAGCCTCTTAGCTCAAGGTCCATATCCATGGCTTATGTGTGCACATACATAGTTGAACACCCCACCAGGAGCCAGGCAACCCTGTCACCTTGCAGACATGTTTAAGAGGAATACTCAGACTTTTATTTTCAGAGCGGAACATTATTTTTTAAAGATTTTATTTATTCATGAGAGAGAGAGAGAGGCAGAGACACAGAGGGAGAAGCAGGCTCCATGAAGGGAGCCAGATATGGGACTGGACCCCAGGTCTCCAGGATCACATCCTGGGCTGCAGGCGGCGCTAAACCGCTCTGCCACCGGGGCTGCCCCGAACATTAGTTTAAACAGTATAATGTGATAATCCTAACCAATTCTCTTGGCAAACACACTGGGTTGATGTAGCTAGGTTATCAGAGAAGGGTGTAGAAGGCACGAGAAAAAAAGATGAATGTGATGGAGGTATTAAGACTTACCGAGACCTGAGTACCGTTGAGACCTGGAGACTTCTTACACCACTGGTGAGCGCTCATCCGGTGAATATGGATTGACATGTTACCTTGTGGCTACATAGGATGGTGAGTGCTGGCCCCTGCTCCCCACTTCCTGCATCACCTTGCATCAGTTGTGTGCCCGTGGATAGCTGCACAAGAGAGAAAATGCAAGGTTCACCAAATGACCTAGAACTTTAGGGCTGCCAAGAGTTGCTCTGCAGCTGCTGGAAACCCCATCCTGGTCCTCATGACACATACCCAGTTCCAGCCGGCAGTGAGTGTGAGGTTTGGAGGTCCTCTCTAGCCAGGTCAGCTAGGTGATTTTCTGGGCCCTGTGCAAAAGGAAAGTACAGGCCCTTTTCTTCAAAAATAAGAAAAAGGGTGTATTTGTTTCCTCTGTGTCTCTCTCTCTCATAATGTCTGCATTTGCTATTCAGTGTCAGTCCTTTGGGGCCAGGCCCTCTTGGGGATTTGGGTGCTGCTTTGCAGCTTGGCACCAGGACACAGGTCTGACGCTGAACCTACCTGCACCCAGGTCACCATCTCAGCAGAGGTGGTAGCAGGTTGGTGGGCAGGAGCAGGGAGCCGGCTGCTGACAACCCATCCTGTGAAGATGGGGAGGTGGACCCCATGTGAGCCAAGGCTCCAAGGCCCTGGCACATCTTCCACTGACCCGTCAGATGTTGCTTACAAAACACAAATCCAAAAACAAGATTATTGAGAAATTGAAGATAACCCCACATGTGGGCCCTTTGAGCATGGACCCTGCTCAGTTACACCGGTCACCTGCCAGAGGCCAAAGGTGCTTAAGCCAAACCCAGGCATGTGACTGCTGGGAAGCAGGGGCTTCTGCTCAGGTACACATTTCTCCCTCCTGCAGGTGCACACCTGGGAGTCCCTTTTACTCCTTCCCCAGCTGTTACTTCATTCTGGAGGAAGTCCTCAGGGACCCTGGGGATCTTAGTGCCGGAAGTTGGGTGAAGATGGGTCCATACAGCCTGGACATCCTCACGTCATTAGCAGGAGTGGACCAAGGCCCTCCAGGCTCTTTACTGTGGAGTAAATAAACACAAATAGCACTTCTTGTGTTAATATCGATCATCTTCTGATCCAGCTTCCTTGAATTATTAAGCTAAGAGACCTCTGGGGGTGAGGAGAGGGACAGGGAGATGTAAGGAAACCAGACTTTACCAGTCCACAGTAGCAAAGCCCTAGACCCAATAGAAATGCCAGGGAAAGGCTCCTGAAAACAGATGTTTATGTTTACCAACAAATCCTTGGGTGATTCCCTCCCAGCTGTGATTTTAGCTTGCCTGTGTCCATGGGTTCCATGTTTGTGATTTGTTTCTCCTTTGCTTTCTCAAGT